TACTGACTGTGACTCGTAGTCTTTCTTATCATACATGAAACTAGTGCTAGAATAATTAAATTCTACTAGTTCTCTCTGTCTACCATAGAAAAAAGATATTCATGAAGATTTTGGGTGACCATTCTTTCATTGACTTCAATGAGGGGATATCATTCTCTATGATCAACATATATGATTATAAAGACCACGCTATCCTTGTTGCGCACTCTAAACAATGATATTTCAACTCCTAGATGCTTGTTCTAGCCCATAATTAGATTTCTCAAATTAACATATTGAATTAGAATTTGGTATGGATATAAAACCTTCAGGTTGTACCATGTACACCTCCTCCTTGAGGTTTCCATAAAGGAAAGGGGTGTTGACATCCATTTGTCAAATCACATTATCATACTGAGCAGCTATAACAAGCAAAATCCAAATGGACTTGAGTTTTGCAATTGGCGAATAGGTATCACTATAGTCAATTCCTTTTCTTTGAATATAACCTTTAGTCACTAGCCTAGCTTTGTATGTTTTCACCTTGCCTTCAGCATTAATTTTCTCCTTGAAAATCATTTTGCATCCAATGGGTCTAACCCAACAGGCAAGTCAACCAAGTTCCATACTTGATTGATACAGATCGAGTCCATTTTAGATTTTATGGCTTCTCGCCACCTCTATGAATCAACATCAAATATTGCTTCTATGTGGGTCTCAGGTTCATCCGTATCAGGAATCTTAACATCATCATGATCCTCCATGAGGAAGCCAAACCTAGTTAGTTCATGACGGGTCCTAGTAGACCCACATAATTAAATGTTTTACGTTTTGTTCAGGCTGTTCATTCTGATCGTGAAGAGGTTCTCTTTCATTGGACTATCCGATGCTTAGAGAGTTTTCTGGTGCTATACTCAGAGAGGGAGAGTTAGGTGCAGAAGGAATGACAACCATGTCATTACTTTCTTCATAAGAATCACTTGCTAGTGCGAAGCGCTTCCTATATTACTCCCACTAGTTGAAGGATATCCTCCTAGAGACATTCTTCAACTTAATTCTCCCATTGAATCCTTCATTAGACAATCTAACAAATCTTCATTCTCTATGTTACTTCAGCTTTCAATTTGATTAGTGCACATTTCTTTACAGTTGTAGGGCAACCCATATTTAATATGTGAAGAAAATGTCTTTTATTATACTATAACTCATATAGTACATTTTGCACTAATCAAACTATTTAGAATGTATGTTGAGATTTATAGCGTGTACCCTCAAAAGAATGTTTGGAAGAGAAAACGAATTCATCATAGATCTAGCCACGTCTAACAAAGCCCTATTTCTCCTTACAGAAACGCCAGTCTTCTAAGGTGTTCTGGAGGAGTTCATTATGACCGAATTCTTTGACCTTTTAAATAAATCAGAAATTTTACTTAAGTACTCTTTGGCTTGCTATCCTTTTTCCTAGAAAAGGATTATTAGTCAAGTTGCTTGAAAGACAAGATTCGCAATTTCCATATGACTCAAAAACAAATGGTGTTAAATAATCTAATTCATTTAACGTTGCTATTCTTGTTTCATTAATTTGACCAAGTTTGCAATGTCATAGATAGGTAGTAATTTTCTGATTACTTAATCGAGATCCTTTTATTTTATCCATTTAATATCTAATATGTCGATTGAATATTAATCATTCATAAGAAAAGCATTTTCACAACTACACCATTTTATGAAAATAACAATTATTATTAGCAAAATGGAAACATAAATCTTTTAATGTCTAACATATGAATGGAAATAATCTTCTTGGTAGTAGAAGGAATAAAATAACAATTATTTAATTCTAATCTAAAACCACTGGGCAAATCTAAACTATAAGGTCCTATCACGTTCAGCAGCAACTTTTGCTCCAACCTTCACGCGTAGGTCAATTTTACCCAGTCCAACTGCTACACTGCTTCTCAGGCTTCTGCACATTTTTACAAATGTGTAAGCCATAAGTTGTATCTAATACTTTAACAATGAGAGTTAGTTATAGACATATTTATTTAATGATAAAAATACCTGAGCTTGAAGCACCCGGTGCTTTGGCTAGATTAGCCTTATACAACTCACAATCTCTCTTCCAATGCCCCTTCTCTTTGCAGTAGAGGCAAACATCCTTTGCAACCTTTGGCTTCATATGACCTCCACCTTTAGGCTTCAGAGCTGTAGGAGTAGGTCCAACCTTACCTTTCTTCTTTTGCTTATTCTTGTTCTTAGAACGAGACTTAGCATTAGAGCTTACCATAAGAACAGTCTTTCCTTTAGAGGTTGAGGCTTCATAAGACTTGATCATGTTATGGAGTTCAGGCATGGTCGCTTTCGTTTTGTTCAAATTATAATTCACAATGAAGTTAGTAAATGAACTCGGAAGCGAATATAGGATGATAGCAGCTGAGACACGATCCTCAAACTTAATTCCGGTGGTAGCAACTCTTTCAATTAAGCCAATCATTTTGAGGACGTGCTCAGACACGTTGCCACCCTCTTGAAGCCTACACTTGAAAATGTCTGTCAGAAGTTCATACTCTAGAGTCTGACTTTCTGAATCAAACAGACTTTTCAAGTGTTCAAGCATCTCGAAGGCGCTCATCCTATCGTGTTGCCTTTGCAACTCCATAGACATTGCAGCCAACATAACACATTGCACAGTTTTAGCATTAGTGACGTGTTTCTCTCGAGCAGTTAGGTCAAACGTGGCAAACTCAGGAGAGTTGGCATCAGGAATCTTGGGTACCGGTGTGTCTAACACATACTCAATATTTTCTTGTCTAAGAACTAAACGCACATTTCTTTCCCAGTCAAGAAAGTTTGGTCCAGTAAGCTTGCATGTATCCAGGATACTTCTCAATGATAAATTCGACATTCCTAAAAGTCTAAAGAAGTTCAAATAGAATGAAATTAAAATCATATATTAATTCCTATGATCACATCTAGTTAACTAAATAATATGGACTTTTAATTATTTAGCTCCCACTATTTTTACATGCTCTTTGACCCCAATAAAAAAGAACATGGATTGTTTTCACAATCATAGTGGCCAAGATCCACATTCATACTATTACAGTCCCAGCTTGGGCTGATCACTGCAATAATATAATGGGTAGGTCCCTAGACCAATTGCGTCCAAGCAATTCTCGGTTGATCAATTTTTATTTATTTTTTTAAATTGATCGACATCCCTAAATTAACACTGACGCTTGGGCGACTCGAGCTAATTTAAGTAAGTCAAAACCATCACACGATCACAAACAATTGTACCTATAAATTAGTTCTATATTTTGTCGAATGGAATAAACACTTGGGTGAAATATTCTTCAACGAAAAAATATTTCTACTAATTTAATTATGATGGGTGATGTCATTATCCCGGATAAGACTTAAATTTTAATTTATGGGGAACGTTTAGCGGAGTATAAAATTATTTAATCAAGATGCCTAAACATATTATCAAATAATATGTTGATGAGATTTAACTCAAACAGATAAATTAAAGCATGCAATATAAATCTAATTTATAAATATATTAAACAGTCAAACAATTAAAGTATAAGCATGCTTAAAAAACAACAATACGTAGTTAGATAAAATTAAACTTACTTATGTCTATTAGATAATTAATCAAAGCAATTAAGATTAATTTTGATACGTAGTGTTTAACTACGTATATAGAAAACCAAGTTACATTAGAATCAGGACTTTCACAACTTCCACATCTAATGGAATTAGACTCTGTATATACGGCCTAGATTAGTGCTCCGTATGAATTAGTGCACAATTGCCAAAGTTTAGGACTTTAATTAAATTGTAGTGGGTCCTTGATTTTATTCTAACTTCTAAAGTAAGCCCATAAACCAAAAACAAATCGTAGCTGCAAGGCTTCGTAGTGGAATCGTTGTTAACCTGCAGCCCCATCGCTTATCCTCACCGTCGATGTCCGTGGTGGTTTCGGTGCAACTAGAACGGCGATGACTAAGCAAGAGGTCGATTGGTCTTTACATTCCCGTTCGAATCTCGTCTGGAGGCGCTCCAAACATAGAGAACGATTTTGCAGAATTTTAATCGCCATTAATGGCGGCCATGTTTTGCAAGGACAGAAAAAAAAACGCATAGAAAATCGATTGAAGGTCGGTCGTCATGGTTGATCGTTCAAAACGTAGAGACAACAAATTGTAGATCCGAAAAGACTGTCGTCCAGTTCAATTACAATTCATATTTCAATTTCTAAAATCAAAATATAATTACTTCGAAAAACAATCATTGATCGGAAACATAATCTGAGAATAATGTATTTAGATCCACGAAAATAGATAGTCTGTATATCTACAAAATTCGTGTAATGTCATTAGAATCAGTTTGGCTCTGATACCACTGTTAGGAAATTGATGTAACGTACCTCGAAAGTACGGCAGCGGAAGTTTAAAATTTTCCCAAACAGATCTTCCCTGATTATGACAAAACAACGAATATAACAATAATAAAAGATCTGAGTTAGAACTTACAGATCTTCCAGTCTAGCGGTGATAATCCTTGACCTTTGGTATCCACGTGATTTCTCCTTTCCGAAAGAACGGATAGATCTCCCTAAGAGAAAGGCTAGGAAATCTCTTTGCGGGGAAATAAACTGGTAATACTGAATCTAAAAACTGGTCTACAAATTATGAAGGAGAAGGATGTATTTATACTAGTTCGAAACTAGTTTCCCAATCACAATGAAAGTCTTTCTAATTAATGAGTTCTAATCCTACTAGGACCAATACTCCTAATTAATTAAATAAGTAGATAAAACAAAACAAAATAATAATAATAATAATTGAGATGTGGCTGCACGCCACGTTCTAATTATTATATATTAATATTTATTTTGTTTACTTTTCTTTTAATTCCAAATTACAAAAGAAAATATCTACTTTATTTAATAATAAATACATCTTAATTAAGTATGATAAATCTAATTTATCTTAATTAATTAATTCTATCAAATAGAACTCTCCTTCAGCTTCATGAATTAAATATGTTTAATCTAATTAATATTTAATTCATTTTCAGTATTACGAATTAAATATTATTTAATCCAATTAATAATATTTAATTCATTCTAACAATTCAATCGGAAGGTATAATCACTTGTTGTGTGACCCATAGGGCCTTATATATTAAGCACTAATCAAATTAAGGTCTTAGCGAATCCCTAGACGATTCTCCAGACAAACTTAATATATAAGGACGTTTGCGAGGACTATACAAACTCCCTGTAATATAGAGCTCATAGTGATACGGTCCTTTCATTCAGCGAACATTCAACTAAGTCTAGAACATGATATAGTGTCTATCCCAATAACTCAGTCTCTGTCTCTCAATCTTTCTAGATGATCCATAACGATCATATTCGATATCCAAAACGAATATATCTTTGCATTGGCCAATGACTTTATGATCCATCTAGATATGAGAAGTAGAATGTTCTCTCTTAATCTATTATGAGGAATGAATCCTTTCTTGGCTCAACTACGACTCCATGTGCTTCGTGATGCACCCAACACATGCCGTATCTACCCCGATTGGAGTGCAAGCGTTGGTCATGGTCAAAGTACATCACTCCACACATGTAGTACGTATTGACCTCAAGTCGGAGGACTATTACACTACTCTATACGCCGATAATCCCATAGACACATGAATAGAACTTATCAAATGGTTTCTCGGTGGGTATGCCAATATTCTCTAAAATATCTATGTGACCATCATGAATTACAGGAACTCATAGTCGTGAGATCAACTATACTTTCTAAAAGTATGATGCAGTCCACATACCAATCTTATCGCATATCATCAATATCCCATTCTTGATGATCATTGATTGGGGCCTTTTTAGGACCTTATGTTTTATCATATAAGCTCTCACTTACTTATTGACAACATAAGTCCAAGGGAACACAATTATGAATAAGACATTGACAATCGAAATGCTTAATCATGAATGTGTAATACCGTATATATCAAATATATAAAACTGAATGTGATCAAGTACATATATCTCTAAAAAGTGATTGTCGCTAGGACATATATACTAACAAATGCCTCATCGGATTCTGATTCAGAACTGGATTCTGTTTCAGAAAGGGGGTCCTTCTCTGGTTGCTCAGAGATGAGAGCTTTCCTCCTTCTGTTCTCATACTTCTTCTCTCCTTCCTGTCCTTGTCTCTTGGATACTATGGGGTGTGGACAGTTGATTTTGAAATGCCCAGGCTTGCTGCAGTTGTATCAGAGAAGCTCTCCTGTGCTTTCTGAAGACTTGGTCTTCAGAAATGGCTTTCTGCTGGAGGATGGATTTCTGGCATCCTTGGGCTTCAAATATTTCCTAAACTTCTTGGCAAAGGCAGCCATATATTCGTCAGATAAAAGAATTGAAGGGTCAAAGGTATTTACCATAGAAGTACTGGTGGTGAGGGAAGTAGTTGTTTTGTCCTCAGCTTCTTCTTTTTCTTCATCATTGATCTCGAACTCATAATATTTGAGATTAGAGACGAGTTTCTCTATGTTGTATGTCCTGAGAACCTGTTGTCTCTCATAGCAGCGACCTTCATCTTCCAGGGTGAAGGTAGACCCCTGAGAACCTTCAAGTTGATCTCCTTGGGAGTCAGTTCCTTCCCAAGCTTAGAGATCTGAGCAGTAAGGGTGAGCAGGCATGCATACATCTCAGCTATGCATTCTTTGGGGAGGAGTTTGAAATCTTCAAACTTCTTCATGGCAATAGTGAGCTTGTTGTCCTTCTCATGCTCATCACCAGCTCCAACCAGGGTTAGTGTATCCCAGATTTCCTTGACAGATGTGCACTTCTTGATTCTAGTGAAATATTTGTCATCTATGGCCTTGTAGAGGACTTCCTTGGCAAAGTTGACAAAATTGTACTTCCTTCTTTCCTCATTTGACCACTCATGGCGAAGTTTGGTGATCATTTGTGGTAGACCACTGCCAGTGGTGTACTCTGGGTTCACGTTTGTAAATTCTGTAAAAGGGCCTGCATCAAGAACTTCCCACATGTCATCATGGAGTGCGCAGAGGTGGGCTTTCATCCTGATCCTCCAGTCATCAAATTTAGTAACTGAAAACATATAAGATTCTTGGAAAGTGTGTTATCCATAATAAGAGATATAAAATAAATGCTAAGAAACAAGTGGATCTTTGCTCAGCAAGTAACCTAAAAGATTACAAGAACAAGGAGGCTCTGATACCACTTCTTGGTCCCGTTCAAGCAAGGAACAGTCAAGAGGGGGGTGAATATATTGTTCAAGTTTTTAAAACTTTTCTCTAAGTCACAATGGACTTGACAGAGAAGGTCGGGTTCTGGTAACAGAACAGGTCTAGGATTAATGACAGAGAGTGTCGAGTTCTGGTGACAGAACTCGACTTGGCAGCGGATAAGAGTTCTGTCCGGGAAGCCTCAGGAAAACACTAAGGCAAATGCGTTTCTGTTAACTCTCAAGACCATATCTGCTGAACACAGACTCCAAGTCTTTGAGTTAGACAGTTAGAATCTTAAGTACATAAAGTAAATGCGTAAAGTAAATGACACAGGGGGGGTTTTATAGCGGTTCAAGGAACAACGTGTTCCTCTAGTCCATAGTTCCACTAAGCTTGTAAAACAACAGTTACAACGTGATGGTCCCAAGTGAGGTAGAAGTCTAGAGGGGGGTAAATAGACTTCTAAAAAATTTTTCTTTTTCAACCCTTTTTCCTCAAACAGAATGTGTTCCAATATCTTTTGGGAGATTGAAACATACAGCGGAAGTCTTGACCTCAAGAGTGTGACACTTTATAGGAACAAAGTGATGGAGTATATGGCCCCGGAACCCTCGGCCTATAGACTCCCTCTACTGTAGCAAAAGCCCAACAGGCCCAAGAAGCATGGCAGGCCAAATTACAGCGCCCCAAGTGCCAAGCAGCCCACGACGAACACTAGGGTGCCTTCGGCACCCTGGCCGAAGGCTCATGAGCTAACAGTACAGCTCCTTCAAGGCCCTCAAAGTGTCTGAGAGGAAGTGGCGAAAACAGGAGCCCTCGGCACCTAGGGGCCCCCGGTATGAAGAGCCTTTGGCCAAACATCTATGGACGAGGGCATCTCCTCGACAGAATCTCCCACCCACATGCGCTGGATCAACGTACCAAGTACAAATGTCACATCCAACCACCGCATTTAATGCGGCCACATGCGAGTGCCAGTGCCACCCCGCTGAGGTGATCCCTCGACCACCAGAATGATGACACGTGTCCCTATCATGCATTTATTACTACTATAAATAGCACTCCTTTCCCCATTTGTAATTCAGGCTCAATATACTCAACGCATTCTCAGCAATACATATTCTCTCTCTTACTCTTGCTCTGACTTCTCTCTAGTTATTCCCCGCAATAACCCCTCGGATAGATACTGTAAGGAATAATTGTATTTAGATTTTGATGATGCTAGATTAATTAGGACTTTAGAGTACCCCTATTTAGATTTAATGTATTAGAATTTTCCTTTGTAAAGTTCTTAGAGTAATCGACTTGACAGAATGCCTTCAGAGCAGAAGACCTTCTGAGCAGAAGGACTCCAAGAGCAGAAGACCCTCGTAAGGCATTATTGAAACAGAGGACCTTTGGTTCTCTGCTTCAGAACAGAAGACCTCATGGTCTCTGTTAGTCTTTACTCTGACAGAAACCCTTCTGGGTCTCTGTTGGATACTCTCCCAACAGAAGTGCTCCAGACCTCCTCTGTTCTACTCTCAATTAAAGACACCAGAAGGTTTGACACTTAGAAGAATTTCACAGAACCGGGAATTCAACTAAAAGATTCCTTCAACGGCTAGGAGTATGAAACGGAAAAGCTACAGTGTGCGCATTAAATGCTCATTTAATGCACCCCATGCTACGTAGAGTAATTGCAGATGATTGGCCGCATTGTCAGGAATACTTTATCCAAAAATAGTAACCCGCCAACTTTACCGGGCTCTACTAGTCAAGTCAACTGATCGCTCATTTAATGCAGTTGTCCTCCTACTCCTCCAACGGGAAGACAACCTCAGTATAAAAGATACACTACGAAGAACAACCGGATAACTTTGCAACTTTTGCTAACCATTGCTACAACTCTTCATACAAGATATTCAAACTCTGAAAAGCAAAAAGCCTCCTTGAGATTCAAACTCATTATCTTCTACAAGAGAAGGCAGAAGTTGGAAAAATACTTATTCCAACTTAAGCAAAGTTCCAAGTGTTCTTCAACTCTTCAAGCTCATCACATACAAATCTTTTGTAACGAAGCTAGTTTGAGGAACCCCAGTTTCAAAAGAAACTCTTCTTGCTACAAGAAGGACGTCCAAGTAACTGGAGTAGTGAAGTGGTGATACTTCAAGGAAACTCAGTGAAAGGACCAGTCTTAAAGGAAGCCAGGCAGTGCATCCCAGGAGACATCTAGGCTTGAAGAAGACGTGGAGTGCTTCTTAAGTTCTAGGACTAAGGCTTTGTAAACGGAAGTTTTTACAGCTTAGTGGAACAGTGGACTAGAGGAACAAGTTGTTCCTTGAACCACTATAAAAATCCCTGGTGTCGTTTACTTACTGCTTTAATATTTGCACTTAGATAGAACTGTTTGACTCCTCAGACTTGGTATCTGTGTTTGTTGGTCCCGGTTATACTGGATACAGTCTAAGGGGGGGGGGGGTTGAATAGACTGTATTGGTTTTTAGCTTTTTAAACTAAGTACCAGATTTACAGAATAGCCTGTTCTGTTGAAAGAACAGACTGGCAGCGGATGGGGTTCTGGTAGGGAGTTCTGTTAGCTTCAGAGAAGCAAAGGCAGTAGGCCTTCTGTTAACTCGTAGAACAAGTTCTGCTGAACACAGATACCAAGTCCAAGGAGTTATACAGTTCTAACTAAGTACAAGTATTAAAAGCAGTAAGTAAACGACACCAGGGATTTTTATAGTGGTTCAAGGAACAACTCGTTCCTCTAATCCACTGTTCCACTAAGCTGTAAAAACTGCCGTTTACAAAGCCTTAGTCCTAGAACTTAAGAAGCACTCCACGTCTTCTTCAAGCCTAGATGTGTCCTTGGATGCACTGCCTGGCTTCCTTTAACACTGGTCCTTTCACTGACTTTCCTTGAAGTATCACCACTTCACTACTCCAGTTATTTGGACGTCCTTGTAGCAAGAAGAGTTTCTGTTGAAACTGGGGTTCCTCCAACTAGCTTCGTTACAAAAGATTTGTATGTGATGAGCTTGAAGAGTTGAAGAACACTTGGAACTTTGCTTGAGTTGGAATGAGTAATTTTCCAACTTCTGCCTTCTCTTGTAGAAGATAATGAGTTTGAATCTCAAGGAGGCTTTTTGCTTTTCAGAGTTTTTTTTTTTATCCCGGAAGGCAAACCACCAAAATCAGTGGGGTAAATGCCGGGAGTCAGATACCAGGATTTTATTAATGTAAACAGAGATACATAAACCAGAGGGGGACTAGGCCAAAACCTCCCCTAAAATAAAAACAAGAGGGCGTACCCATAGAAATTACATCAAAAGAACTAGTAAAAACAACGAAAAGACGGGAAACCGAATAAATCTTTATAAAAAGCTTGACGGGCTAAAATTGGAAGATCTGCAGGCCTATTATAGTACTTGAGATGGGCCGAAGAATTTAACGCTAGAAAATGGGCCGCTTCGTTACACTCCCGCATAGCATGTCCGAAGGACAAACCTTTCCTAAAACCCGTCTCCTTCATTTCCAGATACAAACCCTTCCATCTTCCCAATCCTACCTGAAGGAGATAATGAAGAGCAAGCTCCGCATCCGTTTCCACCTGGAAGTCAGAGAATCCTGCAGACGTCGCCCAACGAACAGCCGTGACCATCGCTATCAACTCGGCTTCCACACAGCTTGAGGCTACGATCGGAAAGGAAATGGCAGCAACAAGTTCTCCTTTTTGATTTCTCAAGATGGCACCACCGCCAGCATTCCCAGGTAAAAATCTCGCATCTGAGTTCAATTTATACTTGCTTGTTGGTTTCATCCATCTGATGGCTTTAAAATAAGTACCTGTAATTTTGAAATTCTTGAAGATAAGTTTTTCTTCATATAAAATCTCCCCAATCGAACGAACTTTCAATTTAGAGAAGCCGGCAGACCAGGTTTGAGTGTAAATTTTAATTTGAGAAATGATTTGAGCTGAGGTAGTGCTACAATCCTTATCACCCCAGATGATGCTTGTATAGACTTTCCATACATTCCAACAAATAATTCCAGGGAGGTTGTATCTAAAAATATCCATCACAGTAGTATTTCCATCCCTTAGCCACCATGTAATAAGGACCTGTCTGATAGAACTGTTAGTATTCACTCTAGGGATTCCCAAAATACCCATAAAGTAATGCCAAATAGGTTGCACAACAGTACACTTAAATAACATGTGATCCATAGTATCTTCATGCCTTCTACATAAGGGGCATCTGGAGGGGTTAAGAATCAGATTGAATCTCTTGAGTTTGTCAGTGACTGGTAGGATTCCATGAAGAATTTTCCACTGAAAAACTTTAATGTTATTAGTCTATTTAGGGTGCCAGGCTTGCTTAAAAGAAAACAAAGTTGGCTTTTCCTCTCTGACAGCTTCATAGGCTGATTTGAAAGAAAAGATACCATCTTGTTCAGGTTCCCAAATCAAGTTCCCATCATTATCATTACTGCAAAAAGAACTAGCAAGGGGGTGAATATTACATATTCTTCTCCATATGGGGGAGTCTGAAACTTTAGGGATCATATTAGGCCCCCTGGGGTATCTAGAATGAATAAACTCCTTCCAAAAAGAATTGCCATTATTCCATTTCCACCAGAGCTTAATAGAAAAGGCCTTCTCCAGAAGATGAATAGATCTGACACCAAGTCCTCCTTCCTCAGTAGGTTGATTGATTTTGGCCCAAGATAGCCAATGATAGTGTCCCTTTTGATTAGTAGATCCCCAGAAGAAGCTAGACATCTTTCTTTCAAGGATAGAGATAACACGTTTAGGAATGGAGTCCACTGTTAACACATGTAAAGGAATGGCACTCAAAACATGTTTAATAAGTATAAGCCGACCACCTTGAGATAAATTTTTACATTTCAATGGGGTAAGCTTAGCTTCAAATTGTCTTATAATGTTGTCACAGTATTGAAATCTATTAATCCCTTTATGAAGTTTAATGCCCAGGTACTTCAGAGGGAGGGCAGATGGTTGCATACCCAGAGTGTTTTTCATGCTAGTAGATCTGTATCTTGCATGTTTCCCAAAGATGAAGGAGCTTTTCTGCAGATTAACTTCTTGACCAGAGGCATTTTGGTAAGTCTTGATGAACTTTGTAAAATTACTTAAAGATCTGTTCTCACCATTCAGAAAAATGAGTAGGTCATCAGCATAACCTAGATGAGAGATAGGGAAACCATATTTACCCATCCAATATGGTTGAATAAAACCATTTTCCATCTGACCTTTAAGCCCCCTTGAGAAAGCCTCAGAGGCAAGGATGAATAAAAATGGGGAAAGAGGGTCTCCCTGCTTGACCCCCCTTTTAGGTTGAAAAAACCCTTGAGGAGCCCCATTTATAAGAACTGAAAAATAAGTAGCAGATAGATTGTTTAGCACAATTTGAATGAAATGCCTAGCAAAACCAAATCTTTCAAGAACCTCCTGTAGAAATTTCCAAGATAGTCTATCAAATGCCTTAGCCATATCAAGTTTAATAATGACATTTGACCCCCTTATCTTCTTATCAATAGAATGCACCATCTCCTATGCAATAAGGATTTGATCAGCAATGTCCTTGTTCTGCATGAATCCAGCTTGTTCTTCTGAAATTAATTTGGGCAATAAAGAAAGTAATCTGGATGTTACTACTTTAGTGCATACTTTATTGATAAAGTTGGAAAGACATATAGGTCTAAAATCAGCAAAACTGGCTGGGTTGTCCACCTTAGGGATGAGAATCAACAAACTGCTAGCCACACCTTTAGGGATAGGGACACCAAGAAAAAATTCCTGTACTGCACTAACAACATCAGGGCCCACAATATCCCAGCATTTCTTAAAGAATTTGCCATTAAAGCCATCTGGCCCTGGAGCACCATTTTGATTTAACCCCCATACAGCTTTTTTAATTTCAATGTTATCTGGTAATTGCATGAGCATATTATTGTCCTCCTCAGAAACTAATGTTGGGATATAATGCAGGATATTAGCAGAATCAATCTGCTCCTCCACTGAATAAAGATCAGAAAAATAAGAGATAGCTGCTTCTCCCATGTCCTGTAAAGTATTCACCATCACACCTGCACTATTTTTAATAGCAGTTATTTGTTGTTTTCTCTGTCTTATCTTTACAAAAGAATGAAAAAAATGTGAATTACTATCACCCTCCTTTAGCCAGTGGATATGGGCTTTCTGTTTCCAATATTTTCTCTCCAACCCATATTTAGCTTTAAGTAAAGCTCTAAAATGAAACCATTTTTCCCTATTAGCCTCACAGGGTCAGTTTCAAAATCTTTCTCAGCCTGTATAACTTGAGCCTCACAATCAGAAATAGAATCAAAAAGATTGCCAAACACAGTCTTGTTCCATTCTTTTAAGTCATTCTTGAGACATTTCAGTTTATCCACCAAACCTCTCATGCCTCCAAAAGATATTTGTTTACTCCAACTTTTTTTAACAACCTCCAAAAAGGTATTATGAGAGAGCCAAATATTTTGAAATCTGAAAGATTTAGGGCCCTGCCATTGCTCCTTGCTACACTTCATCAGTAAAGGGCTATGATCTGAAGGTGTTTTCTCTAAAACAGTAATTTGAACATTATTGAATGTATCCAAGAATTTACCATTTACCAAAAATCTATCAAGTCTTCTCCAAACTCTACCATTTGATCTCATCCCAGTCCAAGTAAAAATGGGGCCCTGAAGAGGTAATTCAATCAAGTTACAATTGGAAATACATTCAGAAAACTCCAGGATACTGTCTGAATTAGGTATTGCAGATCCAATGTGTTCACTGTACTTGGCAATAGCATTAAAGTCTCCTCCAATAATCCAAGGTTCTGAGATAGAAGTAGCCAGATTACTAAGAGTGGACCACATTTCCCTTCTCTCAATATGACTGTGCTTCCCATATGTAGCAGTAAACCATCCAGAAAATAAGTCACCATTCACATAAAAGTGAACCATTTGACTATGCCAAGAGATGTTAGAGATATTAAGGTAGTTAAAGTTCCAAAAGATCCAAATTTTATTAAGGCTAGAATAGATAA